GCTGACACCTGCTGCACTGCTTTTATGAGCATTTTATGAATAAAAACATTTGCTACAAGTGTATTTTTGTATTCACTTAAAAAGACCTTGCTTTATAAAAAAGAGAATGAATGGTTTCAGCTGTAATGGTTATGGTGTGGCAGCTTAATATCCACTTATGATTTAATTCCTTCCTGTTTCTTAACTGCAGTAGCCTATAAGAGATTATCCAGGTGATCTGCCTAAATAAACACCTGTCTCAACCAATTTCAAACAAACATTATTAACAGAGGCAATTTAAATGGGAATGAGTCTCGTTCAATTACCTCAACTAATCTGGGAATACGTTCCTCATCCCGATGCAACAAAGAGTCCATTGAGCTGTAGGTCAGTGTGGACGGACTCGCTGGCTGAGTTTCACCTGTGTTATGTCTGCATGTGACTCATTCAAAGACACACATGGCCTTGGCACTGTCAGCGACATGAGCCAGGGACTGAGGAGAAAAACAAAAAATAAAAAAGCTGTGTAGTCAAGGAGGAAAAATGTTCCAGACTCGAGTAAAAGCCTTGTATGCCTAAATACTGCAAAACCTATTATATCAAGCAGTTTTCTTTACTGTTATTTGCATGTATAATATATTTGCCTTTCTCCATTTTGTCCTTTTGAGCCCTTGTTGTTTTATCATTTAACAGTTAAATGTAACTGAATACATTTATTTAAGAGCTGCACATACCTATAAATACAATTTTAGTCCAAGATTACTCGTGCTTTACTTGAGTATATCAACTTTATGCTACTTAATACTTCTACTCCACTGCGTTTCAGTGGGAAATATTGTCATTTCTACTCTTCTCCAATATATATCTGTGCTATTGGAGTAGTTGTTGGTATGCCTTAAATTGCACATCTTGTGCTGTGGTCGCATGGACTCAGGCAGACGGTGTCAGCAGACAGAAAACAGCCTCTGGACCGCATGGTAAAAGCAAATAAACAGCCTGACCGTAGGACAGTAAACAAAACATGCATGATATGTTGCAATGTGATGTCGTATTGGTTTTTGTGTCTGTTTTTTTATTCTGTTATATTCATTCTAGTAATGTAAAATATTTTACCGTCCTCACATCCAGTAGAATGCGATCTACAGTCTGCCTGTTTCCATGTAAACGCAGCATAAAAAGGCGTGCTGCCTACACTCAGCAGGGTGGTCTACTGCTAAATGGATGGACTTGCATTTATGTAGTGCCCCTCCATTACCTCGACCACTCAAATGGCCTCACACCGTACACCACATTCATCCATTCACACACACAAACGGCTGAGGCTGCCACACAAAAGGCATCAGGATCTAATTTTGGCCCCGCTAAAAGATCTTGACAAGTGGACTGGACGAAATGGCTCCATCTCATACAGCTTCCTATCAAGCGAGCAACAGCATCTTTTGGGTTAATCAAGTGGGTGCCCTCCTTCCTCTGTGTTCTGCTGATAGGCCCACAACACCTCAAATGATATCAACGGGGGTATCGAGAAGGGGCAACAGCCTGGAGATTTAGTCTTCACTTTGTGATATGGTGCACTGGTGACACAAAAAAACATTTTCTGGAAAGATTAAACCAGTAAGATACAAGAGGAGTCAAGTGAGACAACATGCTTTGCTCTGTTTGTTCCTCTGTTTTAAACTGTGGCCCTTTAATAAACAGCCCACAAAAAGCTGATCTGCTTTGTTGTTGAGAGAAGCAAAAAAGATGGAGACAACTGCCAGTGACATTTCTGCCAATAATACAAGTAAAAATCTACTTTGAAACTTTCCAAAAATGAATAAAACTGGCCACAGGAAATGTTGCAAGCTCTTCACACCACACAAGCTACACGTTGACCACAAATTTATTTTCACCTAAAGCTGATGAAGACTTCCTCCCTCTCTTGCAGCCACAACAGTTAGAGTCCTGGCATCTGACACCATACAGTCACCACCCACCGAGCTACAGCAGCTGCCTTTTTTTCTACAACCAGCCGAAAAAGTCTTTGGTACAGCCTAACATGCAGTTTAGCTGCAGTTCAGTTTAGACATGATAAGACCTATGATTCCTGTGTCCTTCCTCTGAGGAATATTTATCTCAGAACTCTGCACACACTCTCTCTCTCACACACACACACACACACACACACACACACACACACACACACACAGCAGGAAGCCAACAAAAGGAACTGACAGCTCAGTGTTTTCTGCATACACCAAATATCTGCCATGACTCCACAGTGACGCAGATATGAAAAAGGTTTATATGATACCCCTATTTATTTACTTTTAAAAATCCCTTAAGGGCTTTAAGACAAGTTCACGCTAATAAAGAGGCTGATCTCTTGCTCTGTGTCCGCTCTTATTGCATCACTGTCCTGCAGTCAGAGAGGAAAGGTGGCAGGAGCAAAAGGCCTAATGGTCTGCAGCAGACTGATCCAAGTTTTAATATGGAAAATACATGAGAGAAGTTGTCCTGAGAGCAGTAAAGTGTGGCACTGAGGAATATTCTTATGTAACCAGGACTATGTGGCTTCACATATACTCAATCTATCCTTTTCTAAGGATTAAAATTAGAAGTCAGTGAAGTGAAACTGTGATTTAAATAAAGAAAACAACACATTTGGGAAGCTGAGACGTCACATAAATTGCAAAAACATAAATGAATGGGAGATAGTGAATCACAAAGCAAGAAGGCGCCGCATGAGACGGGGAGTGAAAGGGTTTGTCACTCATCATGAGTGAAAGGGGAAAGAAAAGTCTAGATAGAACTTAACGTGTAGCAAATCACCACAGAACATTTTGTGAATTACTGGCACAATATTTCATGCACATACCGTATATTTTTTTCACTTCTTGTTTCAGAACATGGACACATGAAGATATAAACCTCACAGACTGGGACGCACTGTCTCAGCAGATGACATATGTGAAACTGAATGGTTTTTGGTTCCCTAAATTGAAACGTCATGTGTTATTCTGGGATACTTTTAGACAACAGATAAACACAACAGCTAAAGATAACATCAACGTACTTCCAATTTCTGTCTCTATCACTCACAGAGCTATGTACAACTGTTAAAATTTATCTGTAGCTGTCACTAACACTTAACTGGAAATTAGCTGCTTTTCTCTTTTACTCAATTCATTTCTTTTTCTGCTTAAGTGCAAATATAACTACGATAATCTCCCTAACCTTTACCCATGACACATTTCTATACAGATCAGCACAGTGGCGACATGCCAGATGTCACACAAAATCTCAGAGTGTCCCACCAAGCATGAACGCTGGCAAATGCTGCCTTCCTCTGGGACAAAAAAAAAAAAAAAGCTCATCAACGGACTAAAAATACCTTTACAGTATATGTAAAACATGATGCAACAGTTCCAATAAGCAGAATTATTTCTATATTTCCCTTGTCCTTATTTGTGTCCTGTGATTCTACAAATTATTTAAATGCTTAAGCATAGCCAAATTCAATTCAAACAGGTTTCTATCATATCTCAAATCATGTGCAGTGACAATATGGTAAAAAAGAAAGTGCTTATACAATTTAAATAATTATTATTTTTCTTTCAGATTAATCTGCCTTTTCTTTAATTAACTGATTATAGGAATGGTTTGGCATTTTGGGAAAAACACTGATGAGAACTAATAACACTTTCATTTATGTACGGTGAATATGAAACTACAGCCAGAGGCCAGTTAGCTTATCTTAACACAAAATTTACAGACAAGGGAAAACATTAAATTCAAGTAGTAAGTCCCAGGGAGCTACTATCTATCAGGAACCAGTAATTTCCTGAAGTCTCAGCTAGTTGCCAGCCAAGAATTACTCAAGTGCGTCATCCCCTACAACCAAAGGAATATAGTTTACACCTGCTGAGTGGACTATCGAGAGTTTTTGTGCTAAGCTAAGCTAACTCTCTGCTGGCTGTAGTTTCGTATTAAATGTACAAACGTAAATGGTGTCGATCTTCCGGCCAAATCAACAGAAGAAAATGTAAGCATTGTGCGTTTCTGCAAATTACGTATACATTAAATGTGTACAAATACATGTCATATCAGCATTTCTTGACTTCTGACTTCTGATTACATATATATATATGAGCTGACATTGTCAGTGGGAGGTGGAGTGGATGGTGGATGGCGTGACGCCTGGGTGAGATAGCTGCCAAGCTGCAGACTGTTCAAGACCAACAAACACAAAAAGACACTTGATTTTAGCGGGATGTTTCCAACCACACTTGTGGCTCCAAAACGGGGCAAGCCGAAACACTGACAACATAATCTTTTTCCCAAACAATAACTAAAGGTTTTTTTGTGCTGAGGCATAACAATAGGTTAACTACAGCACTGTTGAAATGTTAAGTTTCAACATATCTATTACATACAAATATTACATATTCATGGTTTGCAGAATGCAATACCATCATTTATTCTGGCGACTGGATCAAGAGAGAGCCAGTAAGTGTATTTACCAAGATTTTGAACTTTTATTTAATTGTTTAGCCTATAAAATGTCACAAAATACCCAATGTGTCATCTTCAGATATTGTTTTCTATCAGACCAACAATCTAATCTCAAACACATTCAATTTACTGTCCCATAAAATAAAGAAAATCTTCACACTGGAGTAGCTGGAACAAGGTAATGCTCATCAATGCATACTTATGAATCATTTCAGCTCAATCTTTCTATGCTTTACGTAACAACAGAGAGTGGCAGTAAATAACAGCTTACTGGACAGTAAATAAACAGTCATTAAAGTAGATTATTGTCTATTGGAACATCCCCAAACACTTTGACACATAATTCAGTAGATTAATAAAAAGCGTTAGCCTACATTAATGCTTTCAGTTACCTCAAATAACTACATTTAGACGGTTGTTATTCACTCCCCTCTTTCATGATCTGTGTGTCTCAACAACACTTTTGCTGGCCCTCTTCCTCATTTCATTACAGGAAGTGAGTTTGCAGTCAGATGCAACACTGTCACCACACTCAGCGACAGGTCATTGCAGTGAATTCTTATCAACATGGTACTTCTCTAGTACTGGACTCCGCTGCTGCCATCATGCCCTGTTTGGGCAGTCGACACTGTCACCACACTTGATGCCGTCAAAGCAGGCCAGCTACAAGTCCCACAGGTAGGTGTCTATATTTTATCAAATCAACTGCTTCTGCTTCTGGTTTCTGTATTGACGGGACTGTTATTACCCCATACCAGCCAGCTCAACACAGTGTGCCGTAACTTCAGAGTATCGTCACATCGACAGGATCTTTTGAAATGCATCAAAAAGTGAATTATTTCATAGAGACTGCAACATGGGTGTCTAATGTCGCAATATATGAATTTTATTTCAGTAGTCACTGCTAGTTGTGAGCACACAGGGCTAGGTGCTGCAGTGGAAAATTGAGTCCGATAGCATCTAGCCTCAGCTTCCCCATTCTGTCCGTTGAGATAGGTCAATGGTCAGCTTATAGGAAGTTAAAAACTCTGTGGCGCAGTAGCAGAGAGAAGTTTAGTGGTATAAAAAAAAACAGATTGGTACATGAGTGGAAAATTGTTGAGTACATTCACAGCATATCCGTCTCTCTGCCCTGACTTCAGACTGGAGTCTGGTCTATCTGAAGGATGGGGAATGTGATGCGAGGCGTGAGTGCCACACACAAGGTCAACAAAGACAACCATGACAGCTCTTTAAAAGGTAAGTTTTTTATTAATAGCATACTTTGTTTTATAATTAAAGTGCTTGCAAAATTAAAAGTAAAAACTTTCTCAACTGCTGTCAGTAAAACTTTCTGCATGTGCACAGCTACATTTCGATGGTGTAAAATAATCTAAAACTATGATTTAAATGAACTGGCAATAATATCCAAGGTTTGGTCTTAGACATCTCTGAATTTGCCAAACTAATGATGTCTGTGTATCAGCATTTGACTGTGTTTGTTAAGACTGTAATTATTGTTCTTGGCAGGTTCAGAGGACGACATGGTGGTAGTGCTTCAGGACTACCCGTCGCCTGAAATCAGTGAGCCCATCTACAGGATGGGGGAGAAGCTCAGACTCATTGCTCAGTACGATCTTGTTTTTTTCATTCTTGATTAAAAACTTTTGGCAGTTGGAAAATCACAAATAACTAAGAGGAAATAGTCTAACCAAAAATAAAAACAAAACCTCATTTCTAACTTCATGCTCTTAAGTTTCCAGTATAGAGAAGTGTCCACACACAAAGGTCAGTGGTTGATTCCTCTTTGCTTCTTTATGTTTCTCAGGGAGGCTTACTGGTGGAGAGTGCGCTCTGTTCAAACACAAAAGGAGAACTACATACCCAGCAGCCATGTGGCAAAAGTTTACCATGGGTAAGCAGAAGCAGAGCTATACTAACGTTATCCTCTACTATCGGCTGTTTGAACTTGCTTCAGATGGATAACAGCAAAGAATATGAAACAAGTTGTTCCACTACACTATCTATGATCTCTCTCTGTAGTAATAAGGTCGTAGGAGATGTTAGTAAAACAAGATATAGGCACGTGTTGAATGTGTCGATTTTGAGATTGTGTCTTAAGCAATGGGTTTTTTACTGCTAAGGTTTAAAATGCAGCATGTGATCTTTAACTCACAGCTTATTTTTTTGTTCGGTTAGTTGGCTCTTTGAGGGGGTGGAGAGGCAGAAGGCCGAGGAGCTGCTCAGTCTACCTGTGAACAGAGTCGGCTCCTTCCTGGTACGGGAGAGCACCAGGGAGAGAGGTGAGTACATTTGTGAGGCACAATCCGCTTTGTGACTTTGGTTTGACTTTAGCTTTCTGTAAAAGTTTAGTGTTGAGTCTCTGAATAGGAAATTAAAATGCTCGATGAGATCAGCATGATGTTAGGACACGAGCAGACGCCAAACCAAGATGAGATCTAGTCAGATCCAAATCAAGAACAGGAGGGATGTAGTTCAAGAGAGAAGAAAGACAAGAGTCCAAAACTTTCAAGAAAATGGTATTCAATGATGTTTCGGGCCGGGACGGGTGGTGGAAGGGTCCAGCAAACATGGACTTTCACCCAAAAGAGAGGTGTTCATGTCCGGTAAGATTCTAAAGGCAAACCCTGTTCTTTTTTCCTAAACCCAACCACATGTTTGTTGTTGAAGGAAAAAAAACATGTTTGCGGTGTTGTACCAACATAGTGCGTTCATTTTGAAAGAGACTGTACGCAAACGTTAAATTTCCTGTGAAAACTGAAGTGTATCTTGAAAGAAGAGACACAGTGTCCCAGAAGGTCAACAACCAACTCACTCAGGGTACCTTGCACGTCGTATGTGGACGTGGAAAGTCCATGACCAACATGTCAATATGTGACGAGGTCGGAGTGAGAACGTGTTGATACAGCAGTTACTTCTGTTAACACCATCCCAACCCGTTACAGAAGCGTAACATCCACCCTCTGGTTCCCCCCACATCGACACCATCAGCTCTGTCAGCCATGTTCACACTGTTAGCATCATTAGCTGCTAGTTGCCACCTCAGCCTTGCCCATGTCGAGAGCCATGTGCCGTCAGTTTTAATCAGACTGTGAATTATAGATACAGGAATGTTGTATACAGCTTCTTTAAGGGGCTAAAAGTAAAAGGAATTAAGGACTTGAAATTGACGACTTTGAAATATAATTTTTGGCATAATTTAGAACAGTTGAGATATTATTATATTGGCTAAAATTAGTGTCTGCATGGTCTACAGCTAGTACCATCTATTTTTTCTGGCTTGGGACCTTTGATGCATGTCATTACTATTTGCTCTAACCCCATGATTTCTGTATGTAAAGGCAAAATTCTCAAAAATAGTAAAAAAGTTTTTATAAACAGTGCAGAGTGTTAGATAAAAACAGTCACGAAATAATCTGACACCAAACCCCTCGTGAAGGAAAGTTTTTACGCTTGTTTTTCTGCAGATTAAACAATCAACTGAGTTAATTACTGAGCTTTAGAGATGCTTGTAAACTGTTTTTTTAATCTTCAACCTGTTTCCCTGTTTCCAGTCTTTATGCCAAGCTAAAATAAGCAAAGCAACCATTTCCTGGCTGTAGATTTATATCTAACACAGATATCACATACGAGTGATATCAATCTTCTTATCTAACTTTCGGCAAGAAAGCCAGTAAGCTTATTTCCCCAAAACTGTTTTTCAACTACATGTATGAGGTAAACAACTTCTCCTCTGAAACGTTTCTGTGTCGTCATATTTGATTTTTTTCTTTACTTATGGTGCAAAAATGCACAATGACTAAGCATTAACGTTGCTTCTGCTTTTACATTGCCCTAACATTTTGAGTTATGAGTGGATTAATATGACGCTCTTGGGTTCTGGCAAACTGACGTGTTGACCTGATACCACTATGTGCTTGTTTCATAGAACAGAGCAGCTTGGTGTCATGATTAAGAGTGTGTTGTTAAGTGTCTGCTGTGTGTGTCACATCCTCAGGTCTGTATTCGCTCTCAGTGAAGCACCGGATCATAAAGCACTATCGTATCTTCAGACTGGACAACAGCTGGTACTACATCTCCCCTCGCCTCACTTTCCAGTGCCTCGAAGATATGATCAACCACTACTGTGGTGGGTGGATGCACAAACTCTACGATAAACAACTAAACAGACAGACAAAGTATTAAAAACAAACAAAAAGGAGACAAGCATCACGATACATAGAGCCACACACACACAAACAGACAATCACACGCTTTTTAAGCGCTGAAAATAATTTATCATGTTCTTAATATAGAACTGTTTCTTATCAGTGGTCAACCTTCAATATATTTCCTGCTATGACAGAACATTTCTGTAGCAAAACAGGAAATGAAATACACTGTGTGTTTGATAATGACTGCTGGTGCGTACACAGTGAAAAAAGTGTGAGCTTTAATTGTTCTAATCGCGAAATCACTCTGGACCAATATAGATTCCAAACCCCCCTCACAAGTGTGCTTTGTGTGTGTTTGCCTGAGCAGTAGAGTGTGAAAGAGGTTAATGCAAATTGTACAACATTTGTTTTGTGTTTGATTGGAAGCTCAAGAGCAGTATTTAACTTCCCCTATCCTTGCCTTTTCAGACTTTGCAGATGGCTTATGTTGTACGTTAACCTCTCCCTGTCTGTCGGGCGTGACCCCACCATCGGACGCAGCTCCTATAGCTCCACCTGTCGTCATGCGACGCAATTTTGACTGGGGGAAAATAGACAGGTACGATTGAGGCTTGGTGAAGATGATATATACCAGTTTTACTCTGACAGCAAGACGTTCTGTCAGATGGTCTCTGCATGTTCTTGAACTGTTCGTCCAAAAAGCAAAAAGTGATTGAACTTTAATTGATTAATCTGGGTTTTTTCAAATAATTGTTTATCCTATAAAAATGTTGGAAAACCTTGAAGATTGTTCATTATAATTCTTCAAATTGCTTGTTTTGTTTAACCAACAGTCTAAACTGTAAAGATATTTAATGTACTAAGAAAGAAAGTCAGAAAAAATCTCAAACAGGAACCATATATGTCTGCATTTTCTCTTGAAAAATTAAAACAATTAAGGGATTATAACATTTTTAATAGTTTTATAAATTAGCTTATTAATAACTCAACTACTCGAGATCTGTGATGGATGGATTTGAAGAAAGTTATGTAAATCCAGGGCGGGATACACATAATTTTCATAATTTTTTTAGTGAAGAAGGAAATTGAAACGCTAAGATGCTCTGTTGTGAATTATTTTTTCTCATCTCCTCCCTTAACAGAAACCAGCTGGTCAGCACAGACAGCTGCAATGACAACATGGTGAGCTACGGAGTCAGGAACAGCATTGCTGCCTACCTGTCCTTTTCTGCGAGTAAAGACCCCGCGCAGACGAGAGCGGAGAGTAGGAAGAAAAAGAGCAGATCTGTTTATGCTGTCCCTGAAAACAGCCTTGGAACCATTGACTATGAGGATGACTTCTAGAGACATCAGCAGGGTTCAAAAAGACTGGAATACCTTCAAGTGGAGGGCAGTAGAGGGCATCCTTCTCTCGGATCCACACCATTTCTAATGTCAGCAGTGAACCGACATCCATGCCAAGCATCCCAAACATCAAAGTGCTCTACACCTTCTAATGTGAGCACTTTGGAGTTCTTGAACAATAATGCAAATTGCGTGACCCCTCACACTTTGACTCAGCCGATGAGACAGAACTTAATGGAGTTGAACTGGACGATAGTGCAATTGAACTGTGATGTGTATTCTGCACATGAGCCTACAATACAAACAACCGGCATTATGATAGCATGAAAGAGGCTTGAACGCTACGGGTATTGTTGGGTAATATTAATATGTAATTGATTATTATTAGTGGCTTTCAAACTATCTTCCTGTGTTCTTCACATAGAAATATGGTTCTTAATAAATATTTTATGGTAAAGTGGCTTAAACATGCATTCAATCTTTTTTTTTTTTGGCCACTTTGAAATATTTTCACCTTATTATAGTGGAAATGGACATGTTTTTAGCTTTAACTTATCATTATAAAGTCAGTGTTGATTGCACAATGCCATGGCGATACAGCAGAATAATGACACCATCAGCATTTAGATTGCTTCCCTATAAGCCTTGCTTTCTCTATACAATCCTGTCTGCCACTGGGTACAACCTCCCAGTAAAATGGAGGCTTGATTGACGGCACAAAGGAAGTGCGTCAACCATTGCACAACCAAAACAGGAAGAGGATGGGGCTTTTTGTTTTCCCTGGTGGTTATCGCTAGCCATCATTTACCAAAGATTCAAAGATAATCAATTTTTTGCAGTTATCATCCTCAGAGCAGAAATGGCAGACAGTGGAACAACTCAAGTAGATATGGAAACTGTAGTTGTTGCCGAGGGAAACGGAAAGCGATCCAGTTGTCTTTGCATCAGAAGCACCAACAATAGTACCATTTGGAAATGCTTGGGGGAAAAGTTGATGAGTTGCCTGTTTCCGCTTTAAGTTCGTATGGAAAATGTGTCTTAATCCAGTGGATATGGAGCAACATTAGCAACATTTGTTTGTGTCAACCTGATAAGTCCAATATTTACTCTGTTCTATCTCTGTTTTGGTCTCCACCAACTCCTATGGGAAATATTTGGCTCTTTAGCTGCCGAATGCTTCACTGTATCCACCAGCTGGTCACTAATTTTGTCTTTTAGCCGTTTGCTGGGCAGGTAGCATGGGCACAGTGTTATTAAGTTTAAATCAATCATTCATATGCTTGACAAAAATACTGAAGCCAACATCAGCATTTGTGCATAACGGTTGTAGGTTATTGTTGCCTTAAACCTCCATTCTTTCTAATGGCCAGCAGTGGGCAACTCCACTGGTTGCAAAAATATCAGATTGTACAGATGTCTCAGACAAATTACGCTACGCTGACTTGATTTATTACCTCAGTTAACATTTTCTTAACAAGTTTATGGTCAGTCGCTAGCTACAAGTCTTCTTCAATACAGCAAGATGTTCATATAGTAAATTATGGTCCCATAGAGGAAAATAGATGATAAAGCAGGTACGTTTTAGGGCGTGGCTATCTTGTGATTGATAAGTTGTTGTCATGGCAGTGTCCTCGAGTTTCTGAGTCCCATCCACTGCTCGCTCCTTCACAGCTCCACCCTCTTATCCAAATATGGTTGCTTCTGGTTCCAAAAAAAACCCAAGATGGCGATGACCAAAATGCAAAACTGGAGGCTTCAGAATGTGGTCCACAAACCAACGAGGTGACGTCATGGTGGATAAATCAACTTCTATACAATCTGAAGTAATGGTCATGATCTACTATTGTTCACTTTGTGTGTGAGATCTGCCATCTTGCACTGAAGCATGTCAGTAATTTTTTGTATTAAGGAACCTTTTGTGATTTTTTGAACAGAAAGAGTTATAATCTACACTGATTAAAATGGGAAAAAGCTCTGAGACTTCCTAAATTCAAATTCCGTCACAAACTTCCAGCTAAACTGTTGATAATTTTTGAACTTCCTCTGTCCGGCTGTGTCTATTCTTGCCAGTGTGACGGTCTCACTAATTTCACATGGCCACCACATGACACGCTGCCTTAACAACTGTTCTTTAATAAGATGATAAATAACAGCAATATTTTTATAAAGGTATGCAAACAAAAACATTTATTACCACTGCACAAGACCTTATTTGAACTTATTTGCATTTACCCCAACCTCCCCTCTAACACTTTCATATTTGTGCTTGAGCAACTTCCTCTTCTGTTTTTTAAGAGTTTGACCTGAACATTTTTAACCACTAACCCCAATGTGCTAACTTAAACTCTAAATAAAGAGAGAAGCATGTGGCATTATCTATAGCTTTCTGCTCTTTGCTGGTTCATCTGAGTCAGACAGTAAAGCAAAATAAATATGTCCGAGAATGTCAGCTGGAGCTCGGCGCAGTCAGTGAGGAAATGTTAAGCATTACTGTTGAAAGAACAGAGGTCTCTTTATAGTTTAAAGCAGTGGTTTCCAACATGGGGGTCTGGACCCACACAAGCGGTTACCACCACACAAGCGGTACACAAACATATGTTTATTTATTTAATGTCTGTTTTTGTGTTAAATACTGGACAGTTTTATCTCTCCAACCCTCTGACAATACTCAAATGAAACTATCTAAGAAGGGAAAATCACACCTCATATACATGTGTATAGAGGCCTCACAAGTAAAAATTTGCTTTGTATTTAAGGGTAATTCCATCTGCATTCTTTTCCGTGTTTTTCAAATAGAAACTCCCACTCAGCCATTATCAGAAAGCAGAGGCATAGGTTACAGTGCTGATCACCTCACCCCCGACACAAGCCGTAGAACATAGTGCCTTTTTGAACCAGGTGAAGTCACATTTAGATTCAATATAATGCTGCATTTGTACTGTCTAAGCACATTAATAGCTCCACAGTCAGTGTATTTCCTACAGTAAGATGGCAGTCTGCATGCTCCCAGTGTGGAGAAGCAGACAGGAGTACAGTACTAGGGCACAGGAGCTAAACAATGTAACCTACTGCTGTGGATGCCACTATATCTATGATTGCTTCAGAGCCACCAACTCCACTGAAAGAAAACTCAGCACACTGGGAGTTGCTGGTCTACCACGACTCGATCATTTAGTTTGTTTGTTACTGCGTCACTTTGGAACAAACTAATGCTCCACAATCCACAGCAGTACGTGGGCTAACATCGACACTGTGCAGAAACCTAGGTCATGTCATGTGGGAGTTTTTAGAATGGCTTGAAAAATAGCATTTTAAACACCACAATTTGAACTTTCAGATTTGAATACATCAGGAACACTACTGGAAAACTAGAGAATGATATAAAAACCTCAAATACATAAATAAAATTAATGGCGCCAGCTTTTATGGGTCCACACGTAAAAAGCTTGTGAGGCAGTGGTTGAAACAGCCTGTGACATTTTCATCATCCCCGCTTAACAGCATCAGTGGGTGTGAAACGTTGTGGCTGCTGTGCTCATTTCCCTGGGAAGATCTACAGAACACTCACGCTGTCTATGACCAGTTTCGGGAACTTGATGCAAATCCCTAAAGCTGGCACCTCTGTCAATCTAATTTACTTGGTTTCATTAAATTCACGAGCCAACTGCATGTGACTAGTTAAGACGAGGTCAGCACTTTCATCTCAGTTAAAAAGCAGGATCAAATACGTGTGCTTCCTGGTTTTAAAGTCTTGTTAAATACCTGCAAGTACCAGTTTGGGAGAGAAGTCAGAGTGGAACAATCAGTGATGCAGGCACACACACATCTGGTAGCTTACTGCTGCACCATGTAGAGACTGCTGTCCAGTCAGCATTACTCACTCCTTACATCAGGCTGCCTCTCCAGACCACGTGGAGCCAGTCTAGAAAAGACTGAACCTTGTGATCTGGGTGACATGGCTGTTGATTAATGAGGACATAATTCATTAACAGCTTTCGTCAAAATGTGCGATACATCTGGGGTGAAGCAGCGGGTGAAGTTTGAGAGTTCATCTCTGAGTCAAAGTGAAGGCAAAGTTATCGGAAACCTGTTTTAGCAAAGGCCACTTATATATTCAAAATAAACTCTGACTGATCCGTTTATCCATATTCACATCAGGACGTTCAACAAAAACAACTCTTCCCTGAAGTCGTAAGAGCATTTCCTGTAATACCAATGCAGATAAGAAAGACAATACTCCATCACCCTGCCAATCATCACACATCTGTGCGTGTACATGGTGAAAGCAAAGGCTCTCAGTGGGATGAAAAGCGGAAGAATTACAGCCTAAACTTAACAAAACCAGACACCCGCACAGTGCATGTTGTCTTACGAGAAAGCCCCTGGTTCAAGACGACTTTGTGATGAGACAAAATGGATTCTGTGATTCTGTGATGTGAATTTTGTTTGATGTTACAGTAAATGTAAGCACCAAGGAAAACGCTCGAACGATGCACTCTGGCCTTTTTTCCCTCCCCTGAACAAAAACAAGAAGAGGAAGGAGGTTTGAGGCCCGTCCTTGTCTCTGTCTCCAGGAGTGGGATCGAGGCATGGACAGACGAGTGGGATAGGAAATTAAGAGATGGAGGGAGATTCCTCTTCCTCCAGCCTGTTTTCTGTTAATCAGGCTTTCCTAATCTCGCCACATCCTCCCTTCTGCCCCGAGGCCCAGCTGTCCAAACCTCTGACTTCACCACTTCTGCGCTGGATGCTCGCTGGTGAGCTGCGAAACATCCAGATAAATCTTTGCTTTGCTCAATCAAAAACACATTCTGTACTTTTCCCCCTTGTTAATTAAACTGCAGTTTCCCTCCCCCATACTGCTGCCGTCATCTCATGAAACTGTGGCGAATTCTTGAAGTGGAGATGTCACGGAGATCACGTTGTACTTTTCAGACCAGCTCGAAAATAAATGAGTTTATATTAGTTTTTCTCTTTTACTCTGTTTTCAGAAGTCATATATATAGTTTGAGTGTTTCCTGTCAGAAAGCCTCACACTATGAGCTGTTGTGCTGCTTTCGGCTTAATTTGGTGCAAAACATGACGTTCCACTTTAACTTTAACTGTGACCACTTCCTGCAGGTGTAGAATAGAAACAAGTGTCAATTTCTATCTCACTACGAATCCCCAAGATGGACACAAATATGGCAGCTGCAGATCGAAAGATAAGCATGACTTCTGTTTTAATGAGAAATCGTACACTGGTGCCAAAATTACAACGCTGGTAAAATGAACCTGAGAAAACTCCACACCGCTTTTGACAATTTTCTCCAAACCTGTGAAACAACCTCCTCCGGAGAGCACTGTCAACAGCGCTGAGTGTTCGTTTCAGAAACAGGACATGAGAACATGTCCTTTAATGTTGAACCAAGGGCCTCAGCCAATACACACAACCATATCCATGGCTGTCCAGAGAGCCAGGGGAAAACAAACA